TGCACCTGCAAGGTGACAGACACATTTCAGACTTGTGTGTTCTTGTATTTGATTTATGAAGAAGTCCCTAAGATGGTTTTGACACCAGTAATAACATAGCACCATGAGAGAAAGGAGGACAAGGAAAAGACCCATCTGAGAGCCTCTCAAGAAATCTAAGTCAATTTAGGATATTTAAAACCTAATATCAGAAACTATTATAGGAGACATACATCTTAGCATCACCATAGCTGTTCTGCGAGCCAATGCAGTTTTAGCAGAGTTTTGAAGTCCTGTCTATTGAGTTGCATTCTAATGAAACTTGTGTTAGCAGAAACAACTCACAGCTATGTCACTGAGCTGAATTCCTCCACAACCAGAAGCAAGAGCCAAAGTTTGCCATATTTAGAGGTATGTACAGTTTTCAAAAGTCTGAGTAGCTCAGCTGCGTCTGACTCTTTGCAACCGCATGACTGACACCCACCGAGCTCCACTGTCCATGGGATTTTCTAGGCAAGAATACTGGAGTGGGTTGCCATTCCCTTCTCCAGGGAATCTTCCCAACCCAGGGGTCTAACCCAGGTCTCCTGCATTGCAGGCAGATTCTTTACCATCTGAGCCACCAGGGAAGTCCCAGTTACCATGTTCTCAAAAAATTCATACTTTGAGTGACTTCCCGGTAAATTAAGTTGAACTTTTAAATGCACCCTGGAACTCAAATGGAAAGAACTCATAGAAGCCTCTGTTCAGGTTAATGCAGTAAAATTTACAAAGGGATTGCAGCACATCCTTTATTAAAGAAGATCATTTTCTAAATAAGAATAATTACCTGCTAATTCATGTTTTGAGAGTCTGCTTTTGTACTTCAAGTCTCTTTAAAGCAAGGCTGGGCTTTAAGTCCTGTCAAAATTTTCCTGGCCTTTAGCTTTCCTTGCTCAAGAAAAGATGAAAGCCTTTGGAAAAAGTGATATCCGCATGTGAACTTTTAGAATTTAGTCTGTGTTCTAAATAAAGATGTGCACAGTCATCTAGGTCCCTGAAAAGGTAGTAGATTTTTCAGGCTGTGTCTTGAACCTAGGGAGCAGAAGCTATTGTTTGTTCAGGAGGGCGGGTGGAGACCACACCACAAAGATGCTTCCCACCTCCCAAGGGTACAGGCAGTCCCAGTGCTTAAAACTAGACCTGGGATAGAACTTCTCTGGTGGCCCAGTGGTTAAAAAAATGCCCTTCCACTGCAGGAGGCATGGGTTCAATCCTTGGTGGGATGGTGTAGCCAAAGATTAAGAAATAAAATAAAATAAAACTAGTCCTGGCAACTTCCTAGGGAACAAATGCACATAGTTATGAAGTGTGTACAACCAATCTTTTTGTTCTCTCTAGGGTATGTTTGCCTCTATTTCAGTTGTTTAAATTGTGTCAACCTAGGACCAAAAATCTTGATGAAATAAACTACAAAAACAAAAACAAAAAACAAAAAACTAGACCTGGCACATAGTTGGTGGTCCAACAACATTAATACTCCAGTATTTTTGCCTGGAGAATCCCAAGAACAGAGAAGCCTGGTGGGCTACAATCCATGGGATTGCAAAGGAAAGTGAAAGTGAAGTTGCTCAGTCGTGTCCGACTCTTTGCGACCCCATGGATTGAAACCTACCAGGCTCCTCCATCCCTGGAATTTTCCACACAAGAATATTGGAGTGGGGTGCCAAGAGCTGGACACAGCTGAGCTCGGACACTGGCACTCAATGAGTTCCCCTCAAGGCAGAGCTGGGACATTTGTAATTAGGTGAAATGAAACGACTGTGTTTCTGGACAGCTGTGTACAGAGCCGCATTCTAGATCACAGATCCCGGGACATTTTTGAGCTAGAGGAGGTAGTTCGAACTCCTGTTTTGAACTAGAGGAGGCAGATTACATTACATCATAGTAAAGCAAGCATCTTTACTAATCATGTTTAAATATTTTATACTTTAACTTAGACATGAGCTTTGAATTCATCTTGTATTTAACAGTATATATTGGGTGATCCGTCAGTTCAGTCACTCAGTCATGTCTGACTCTTTGCAACCCCATGGACTGCAGCATGCCAGGCCTCCCTGTCCATCACCCACTCTCGGAGCTCACTCAAACTCATGTCCATTGAGTCGCTGATGCCATCCAACCATCTCATCCTCTGTCGTCCCCTTCTCCTTCTGCCTTCAATCCTTCCCAGCATCAGGGTCTTTTCCAATGAGTCAGTTCTTCACATCAGGTGGCCAAAGTATTAGAGTTTCAGCTTCAAAATCAGTCCTTCCAATGAATATTCAGGACAGATCTCCTTTAAGATGAACTGGTTGGATCTCTTTGCAGTCCAAGGGACTCTCAAGAGTCTTCTCCAACACCACAGTTCAAAAACATCAATTTTTTGGTGCTAAGCTTTCTTTATAGTCCAACTCTCACATCCATACGTGACTACGGGAAAAACCATAGCTTTGACTAGATGGACCTTTGTTGGCAAAGTGATGTCTCTGCTTTTTAATATACTGTCTAGGTTGGTCATACTGGGTGACAAACAGACAAAAAGAAAATTAGTAAATGAATCAATCAAACTATAATTCCCTGAATTAAGTCTTTAAAACCGTCAGTGGATGACGATAATGTGAACGTGACCATTTTGTACTTTACGCTACTGTTTATATAATTAACAATTCAGGATACCAGAGTTGTTTCTATACTTGTGACTTTATTCTTTCTTAAACATTTATGTTTATTTCATCAATATACTGAATATGGCTTGAGCATTTTTGATAATTTAGTCATAATACACTTTTCAAAAAAAATTTATTTATTTATTTGGCTACTCTGGGTCTCAGTTGCAGCAAGTGGGATCTAGTTCCCTGACTAGGGGTTGAACCTGGGCCCCCTGCATTAGAAACACGATGTCTTAGCCACTGGACTACCAGGGAAGGTCCCATAACACTCTTTTAAATTCAACCAAAATTTAATTAGCATATACATGCTAAAACAGCACTCTGTAAATTCCTCTGTTGCTTTTGTCACTATAATTATAATCACTTTCATTTATCAGTATTATTAAGTCAGTTCAGTTCAGTCTCTCAGTCATGTCTGACTCTTTGCGACCCCACGAACTGCAGCATGCCAGGCGTCCCTGTCCATCATCAACTCCTGGAGTTCACCCAAACTCATGTCCATTGAGTCAGTGATGCCATCCAACCATCTCATCCTCTGTCATCCCCTTCTTCTCCCGCCCTCAATCTTTCCCAGCATCAGGGTCTTTTCCAGTGAGTCAGCTCTTCACATCAGGTGGCCAAAGTATTGGAGTTTCAGCTTCAACATCAGTCCTTCCAATGAACACCTCGACTGATTTCCATTAGGATGGACTGGTTGGATCTCCTTGCAGTCCAAGGGACTCTCAAGAGTCTTCTCCAACATCACAGTTCAAAAGCATTAATTCTTCGGTGCTCAGCTTTCTTTATAGTCCAACTCTCACAACCATATGTGAACACTGGAAAAACCATAGCCTTGACTAGACAGACCTTTGTTGACAAAGTAATGTCTCTGCTTTTTAATATGCTGTCTAGGCTGATCATAACTTTACTTCCAAGGAGTAAGCGTCTTTTAATTTCATGGCTGAAGTCACCATCTGCAGTGATTTTGGAGCCCCCCAAAATAAAGTCTCTCACTGTTTCCACTGTTTCCCCATCTATTTGCCATGAAGTGATGAGACCGGATGCCATGATCTTAGTTTTCTGAATGTTGAGCTTTAAGCCAACTTTTTCAGTCTCCTCTTTCACTTTCATCAAGAGGCTGTTTAGTTCATCTTCACTTTCTGCCATAAGGGTGGTGTAATGTGAATATCTGAGGTTATTGATATTTCTCCCAGCGATCTTGATCCCAGCTTGTGTTAGCCACTGATTATTTTGTTTACTGTTTATCAGTGCAGTTATGATAACTCTATGAGGTGATTATTATTTTCATCTTAAGAAAGTGAGGCAGAAAGATAGAGAGACCCACCCAATGTTACACAACCCATTGTTGAAACGGTAATGTGAGAATTTTGAACTCTAGCACATGTATCTCCTAATCCGTATTTTAATCCCTGTCTTCTACTGTCTCCCAAATAATTTCAGTGGGTTTTCCCACTAAGATTTAAGCCACTCAATAGCAAGGACTGTGTTTCTTACTCTCTGGAGACTAGTCTACTGGGAGGACTCAGGAAATGTTGAAATAAACTAAACTTAGATTTGAACTTTGATCTCTAACATATATATTTGTAATTACAAGTGAAAGTCGCTCAGTCATGTCTGACTCTCTGCAGCCCCATGCTCTATACAGTCCATGGGATTCTCCAGGCCAGAGTACTGGAGTGGGTAGCTGTTCCCTTCTCCAGGGGATCTTCCCAACCCAGGGATCACACCCAGGTCTCCCTCATTGCAAGCAGATTCTTTAACAGCTGAGCCACCAAGTTTATTCTAACGTAAGAGTAAACAGCAAAAGAAGCCCTATAAAGCTGTTTCTTCACAAGTAGTTTGCAGTTGTAGCTAACCTGTTTTTTTTTTTTTTTTCTGTTCTGTTACTTAAGAACTGATAACCTAATAGAAAAATAGACAAAAGACAAAGCTTAACACCCACACACAAAAAAAGATAAAAATGTCAAACATATAAAAAGATGTTCAAGTTTATAATGATAAAATAAATTTAAATTAAAATGGTAATATGATAAGATTTCACAGTTACCATATGGACAAAAAAGTGAAAAGTCGAGCATACACGGGGCTGCAGAGATTTTAAGATAATAATGGGGCTTCCCTGGCGGCTTGCATGGTAAAGAATCGGCCTGCAATGCAGGAGACCTGGGTTCGCCCCCTGGGCCGGACAGACCCCTTGGAGGAGGAAGTGGCTACCCACTCCGGAGAACTGCATGGACAGCGGCGCCTGACCGGCTGCAGTCCCCTGGTCAGATGTGACTGAGTGCAGAATACTTTCTCACTGGCACTGTTTCTCATATATTGCTGGTGGAAATGAAGAATGATAAGCCCCTGTGGAAAGAAGCTCACATCAAAACCCAGCAAAGTATTTGTGTGCCCGTTCCGATCCATGGACGCAAGTTTCGCGAAGTCAGCTTAGGAGCCTCTCGCTTCCGCTTTACCTCCAGTGCCCGCTCTGTGACCCCGGGCCGGACTCCAGGCCGGTCTTCGGGCCAGGGCGCCATGCCCGGCTTCGCCAGTAGAGGGCGCCGGAGGGACGCCGCAGGAGGAAGGGGCTCCGCGGTCCTGGGGTGCCGCGTTTGGTCCTCACCTGCTCCTGCTGCGGGGTCCCTCGGTGGCCTGCGGTGGAGACGGGGAGGGAGGGGAGGAGTTGATGGGATCGGCTGGTGCCAGAGGGCCCAAGCCCTTCGTGTCCTTCCAGCGCAGCCTAGACCTTGGGACCAGCTGGCTATGGAGCTTTTGGTGAGGACGCCACGTGCTGCAGGAGAGCCTGTGACCACCTCTGTATGCTTGCGAGCCAGACACTCGTGTCCTGCTGCGGAAAGCTATGGCCCAGGGGGCGCAGCACCTTCGCTGCCGTCCAGAATGCTGCAACCACGTCTTATCCAACTGTGTTGAGCGTCATGGGAAAGGTTCCCCTCCGTGTGGTCCTTCCTCGCTTGAGTCCTCTCCCTCAGCCGAAGAGCATCCTTTAGAGCAAGGGTTGGCAGACGGTGGTCCGCTGGCCAAATCCAGCCTATTACCTGTTTCATATATAAAATTTTATTGAACTACATCCATGCCCATTTGTTTTGTATTGTCTATACAGTGTGAAATGATTGTGACAGAGATAGTATAGGGAACAAAGCCCAAAATATTTACTATTTGTCCTTTTGTATAAAAAGTTTGCCAATCCTATGTTAAAATTCTCTTTACACCTTTATGTTATTTTCTTATCATAGCTTAATAATTTGTAATCACAAACTTTTCCTATTTAAATCACCATGTGGTTTCTGTCTTCAGATAGATACTACCTCTAACAGTACAAAAGTACCTATGCACACGGTTTTTCTTTTTTTTATTTATTTTTATTAGTTGGAGGCTAATTACTTTACAATATTGTAGTGGTTTTTGCCATACATTGACATGAACCAGCCATGGATTTACATGTGTTCCCCATCCCGATCCGTCCTCCCACCTCCCTTCCCATCCCATCCCTCTGAGTCATCCCAGTGTACCAGCCCGGAGCACTTGTCTCATGCATCCAAACTGGGCTGGCGATTGCACAAGGTTTTTTTTTGGAACCTTACTTGTTTTTGCAGAAAAAATAAATAATCCAAATGCCTTAACGTGGAAGTTGGTTTAGTAAACTATGATATCCATACAGAAAGGACTCTGTGACTATGAAAAGAATTAGGAGATCTCTGTGAACTGGTACAGAGTGATTTTCAGGGTATGATATTTATAAAGTATACCGTATTAGTAAGAAAGCTTATTTCTTAAAAAAGAAACATGGGAAAGATAAGCCAGAAGTTAATAACATCCATTACCTACACGTGGTGGATTGGAGTAGAATGAAAGGAATAAAAGAGGAATCAACACTTCCCTGCACACACCAAAATAGTTTTGACTTTAAAACCTTGTTAATGTTTTACATATTCAAAAGTGAAATTAAATCTACAAGTATGAGAAGAATAAAAAATCGAATGCAAACAGAAACCAATACACAGCATTTTGAATTAATAGCTAGACCACATGAAAGAAAAAAGAATTAATTTGAGTAACATTTGAATCAATACTTTGACCAAATACATTCAGTTCAAAAAAAATAGTAAAAAAAGAAATCTTAAACTCTGCTTAATAGGTTTTTTTTTTTTTGTAGATAACTGTTATAGCAATTCTGAAACTATTTTGGTATACTGTGCAATTAATTAATGAATAAATATACTGATGCATTAGAAGTCAGGTTCTCATTATGGGAGAGAACACATGTAAATGTGAGCTGGGAGAAGACTAAAAAAATATCAAAGTATTTGTTGCATAGGAGTTAAAGTAATGTAGATAGGTAGATAGACATATTGGGAAAAAAACAAACTTGAATAGCAATGAACAAGGTACTGTCCAGCTTTTGGTTTTTAAACATCACTGTACTAGAGAGATCAGTCCTGGGTGTTCATTAGAAGGACTGATGTTTAAGCTGAATCTCCAATACTTTGGCCACCTGATGTGACGAACTGACTCATTGGAAAAGACCCTGATGCTGGGAAAGATTGAAGGCAGGAGGAGAAGGGGACGACAGAGGATAAGATGGTTGGATGACATCACTGACTCAATGGACATGGGTTTGGGTGAACTCTGGGAGCTGGTGATGGACAGGGAGGCCTGGTGTGCTGCGGTTCATGGGGTCGCAAAGAGTCGGACATGACTGGGCGACTGAACTGAACTGAACTGATACTAGAAGGAACAAGAGATCCTTGAAAAGATGACAGATTCTAGCACTGGAACAATTAAAGAACAAGATGAGCCAGGATCATCTTATCGTGCCAGCAGATTAGAATGTGCTCAAAAAGTTGTGAGAGCCTGTCTAAAAGATATGGGAACTGGTTTGGAGGGGCTTCTGCTGATTACTGCTGCTGCTGCTAAGTCGCTTCCGTTGTGTCTGACTCTGTGCGACCCCACAGACAGCTCCTCTGTCCACAGGATTCTCCAGGCAAGAATACTGAAGTGGGTTGCCATTTCCTTCTCCATCTGCTCGTCAAACTGAAGCAATAGAAGCATCAGATAAACAATGATGTTAATAGAATATATTGGGTTTCCCAGGTGGTGCAGTGGTAAAGAACCTGCCTGCCAATGCAGGAGATGGGGGAGACACTGGTTCGATCCCTGGGTCAGGAAGATCCCCTGGAGTAAGAAATGGCAACACACTCCTGAAAACTTCTGGCCTGGAGAATCCATGGAAAGAGGAGCCTGGCAGGCTACAGTCCATGGGGTTGCAAAGAGTCAGACATGACTGAGCATACACGAGATTATATTACCATTAAGTAAGCAGATAGTTCATTTATAGACCTTAAAAAAAAAGAGCTAAAAGGGTCAAACTTCTTAAAGAAGATACAGAAAGTATTAGAATAAATAAGGAGTACTCATATAGGATGGGGCTTCCCTGGTGGCTTAGCAGGTAAAGAATCTGTCTGCCATGGTGGAGACCCAAGTTGGATTCCTGGGTCAGGAAGATCCCCTGGAGGAGGAAATGGCAACCCACTGCAGTATTCTTGCCGGGGAAATCCCATGGACAGAGGAGACTGGCGGGCTATAGTCCATGGGGTCACAAAGAGGTGGACCCGACTGAGTAACTAACACATACTCATATAGTTCTAAAAAAGAAAAACCAAAATGACAACTATGTGTAATCCTGGTTTGAGAAAAAAAATTCTATAAAGGACACAGTTGGGACAATTGGCAGATTTGAATATAGACTGTGTATTAGGTAATAACTGTATCTCTGTTAAATTTCCTAAATCTGATCATTTTACTGTGGAAAGGAATGTCTTTGCTGTTGAAAGACACAAATAATGAATTTAAAGGGTACAGGGTCATGAAAGCTGTAATTTACTCTCAAATATTTCTGCCAAAACTACCGCTGCTACTACCACCTCTAATAATAATAAACAAATGTGAAAGTATGTTCATTGGTCAATGCAGATGAAGTGTCTGTGTTTCTTTTCATCTGCCACTGGCCACACCGTGTGGTTGCCAAATCACGTGACTGGTCAAGGACTCTTGCGTTAATCAACCCTTGCTATTTGTTAGCGTATGAACTTTCCCAGTCCTTTATTTCATCTCCTCTAGTGCTGGGCTAAGGTACCATCGAAATGTTACCCTGTTTCATCTTCACAAAAATCCTGTGAAGTAGAAATTATTTTCTGCATTTAAACAGGTGAGACAACTGAAGTCCAAAGAGGTTAAGTGACTTGCCAGAGGTCATTGTTAGTAAATTACAGTGTAGTCATTCAAACCCAAGACTCCAGGTGCAACTTCACTGAGGCTCCCTTCAGGCCTCAGGGGCCCAATGTTGTGACCATCAGCAGATGCTACAGAATCAGGAAGCCAAACAGAACGGTTTTGCGAGGTTAGAAGGGAGAGGCTTAGAACAGAGGCTCTGGCAATTCAGTAATTAGAAAGCGTAATAACATGAGGGCAAATGAATATCTACAGATTTTACGTCCATATTATTTCTTCCTAAAATGACCTGCAATTTTATATTATTTTCTGTTCATCAGAACTACAGGCTAGACATCAGACTACACATGCACCTTTATTGTTTTATGATATATATAAATACCATCTTAAAATATTAATATACATAGAGTCTTGTGTTTTCAAAGTTCCTACTATGCTGCTAAGTCACTTTACTCGTGGACAACTCTGTGCGACCCCGTCCCTGGGATTCTCCAGGCAAGAACGCTGGAGTGGGTTGCCATTTCCTTCTCCAATGCATGAAAGTGAGAAGTGAAAGTGAAGTCGCTCAGCCGAGCCCGACTCTTCGCGACCCCATGGACTGCAGCCCACCAGGCTCTTCCGTCCATGGGATTTTCCAGGCAAGAGTACTGGAGTGGGGTGCCATTGCCTTCTCCAAACTTCCTACTCTAAAGAAACATAAAAAGGAATGAAACAAAAAATAATTTCCCTGACATTTAAAAAAATCTATGTATAAGGGTAAAACATCTAAAACATTCAAATTGTGCTTTGTGTCTTCCATTTAAGAGATATGTTCTTAGAACAAGCAGTCTCCTTCATTCTTTTTAAGGAGCTATCAGGGTTCCATTGTGTGCATACTTGTGTGTATACACGGTTTTGTGGAGGGGAGGGCTTATGCATGTGTGTGATGGTATGTTCACGCGGCTCTGCGTTCGTGGGTTTATGCCTGTGACTACTGCCTCCTCCTGGTGACTGTCTCTTCCACGCGCTAAAAAACTCCTGGAAGTACAAGGATCAGGTCCATGTCCAACTGACATTGAATTCCCAGCATCTGAGCAAAGGGGTTAGAACGATTGTTGAAACATAACTTTCACTGGCACGTGAAAAAGTCTTTGCATATGAAGAGCCGTGGCAGAGAACACAGGCTCAGACCATGGGTCCAAACGGTTCTTCCACGGCTCACTGTGAGGTCCGAGATGTTTCCTGGGAAAACTCCTTGGCCTTCCTGTTCTCTGCTCCCCCGCTGTAGCTGTTCAGTCACTAAGTGGTGCCTGACTCTCTGCAGCCCCACGGACTACAGCGCACCAGGCTTCCCTGTCCTTCACTATCCCCCTAAGTTCGCTCAAACCCATGTCCATGAGTCGGTGATGCCATCCAACCATCTCATCCTCTGTTGCCCTCTTCTCCTCCTGCCCTCAATCTTTCCCAGCATCAGGGTTTTTTCCAGTGAGTCAGCTCTTAGCATCATGTGGTCAAAGTATTGGAGCTTCAGCTTCAGCGTGAGTCCC